CATGAGGAATCAAGATGATGAAGAGGAAGAGGATGGTGAAGATGATGAGAATGATTGTGAAGAGAATGGTGAAGAAGATAGACAATGAGATGATGATGCCGAGGATTAGGCTGAGGATGAGGAGAAAGAAGAAAATGATGAAATGAAAGTTAATTAACTTAATTATTTTAAAATTCATTTAATTTATAAATTCATTTTTATTTGACGTGGAAAAAAGAAAACAATTTGTTTTTTTTTTTCATGTAGGCCCCACAAAAAGTGGAGAAGCAATCTGACATGTAAAAATGCCACGGTGTCAAAAATACCCTTGTTGGATTTACACGTCAATAAAAATGAAAAAAGCCGGTGATTTTGTGGCATCTTAACGTGCCACCTGTCATTTAACTGACGGAAGAACCATTTTGGTACCGAAAATGAAAGTTCAAGGATAATTTTGGTACTTTTTAAAGTTGAGGGACAATTTTGGTACCAAAGTGATAAGTTGAGGGACTAAAATGGTACTTAAACCAAAATTTAAATATCAACATCTTAAGTATTTGAAATTTAAAATAACCTAACTATTAACATGCTTAAAACTAAATTTTAAATAAAGTTTAAAACAAGGTTTTTAAAACCGGACCGGTCATTGAACCGTTTTCGGGTTTGATTTTTGGTTTGACCGGTTTAATCGGTTCAACCGGTGAATCGGTTGGTTCAAATAACAAGGGAAATTTGACGAGAGGAATAGGTAATTTTGTAATTTCATTAAAATTAAGGGTTAAAATCGGTATAAGAAAAGAATGGTGAGGGTGAAATTGGAAAAACTAAAAAGAAAATTGCATGAGAAATTGAACCGGTGGTTTTTTTGGTTTTACTGGTTCTATCGGTTTCATCAGTTTTGATCGGTTTTGAACGGTTTTGACTGGTTTTGAACGGTTTTTGACCGGTTTTGACCGGTTTTGATCTCAAACGGTTTTTGTGTGTGAACCGAGTCATTTTCATTATTGGGTACCGGTCTGACCGGTTCAACCGGCCGGTCCGGTCCGGTTTTAAAAACCTTGGTTTAAAAACTAAAAATAATCCAAAAAAATTGAGGGACTACAATGGGTCTAAATTGCTAAATTAAGGGACCAATTCTTAGTTTAATCCTAACAAAGGCAAAAGAAATTCTTCTCAAAGAAAAAAAAAAAAAAAAAAAAGAAAAAAAGAGGGCAAAAGAAAATTAACAGAGGTCGGGCCGCACATACCGTTAGGCGTCAATCGGTCTAGAAGACCATCGGCTCCTAACAATTATCCGTCAATCAATGAAAGGCAACTAACTGTTGCAGACGTTAATCCTGATCGACGGCTGAACCACTGATGATGCAAAGGGTTTTTTTTTTTTTTTTTTTTTAACAGGGGAAATTACAGAGAAAGGAAAATTTTTTAAATGATTAATGAGAATTAAAATTTTAACTAATTAAACCTAAATATTAAAATTTAGGGACAAACTATTACATCTAAAGAATTAAGTTGAATGATGCGAAGGGCTTTAGGCCTACCCTTCCCCCTAAAAACAATAAGAAAAGGGAAGCCCAAGAAAAGAAGGCACGGTTGGCATAAATAGTTAATTAGGGCACTAAATTTCTTCAATTTAATAATTAAAGGCATAAACTTTAATTGCTCTTAATTAAAAATCTCAATTCCTTTTTTTTCCCTCTCTATTAATTAGTGGATTATTGGATTTAACTATTAAATGATGCATAAATTATTTACTTAAGAAAACTTCATTTTAATTTTTTTTATACATCAAATGTTAGGTTATATAACAAAGAATTTCTTTTACTAATATTTTTCATTCAACCGTTAGACAAGCTACTGAATCCAAAGATGAAATTTAAGTAATTTCATTTCAAACTTTGGAATCATCGTTTCACATTTTTATATAAATTTTTATAATAAAAATTAGGCTTGGCAAATGGGCGAGCCAAGTTTGGTTAGGATTGGACTAAAATGAGCCCTGAGTCACACAGGGCGGGTTAGAACGGGTAATAAACCCTTACCCGCCATCACAAGTCACGGATCACCTGTGGGTTGGCTATAAGTAAAACCTTTTTCTTTATTTTTATATTCCTTTCTACACCTTTTTTAATTCTTTCTGTACCACTCTTGCACTTCAAACCAAGGTTTTTAAAATCGGACCGGATTGGCCGGTTGAACCGGTCGAACCGGTATCCGATAATGAAAACGGCTTGGTTCACACAAAAAAACCGTTTGAGATCAAAACCGTTCAAAACTGGTCAAAACCGTTCAAAACCAGTCAAAACTGATGAAACCGATGGAACCGGTAGAACCAAAAAAACCACCGATTCAATTTCTCATGCAATTTTCTTTCTAGTTTTTCCAATTTCATCCTCACCATTCCTTTCTTATACCGATTTTAACCCTTAATTTTAATAAAATTACAAAATTACCTATCCCTCTCATCAAATTTCCCTTGTTATTTGAACTGGCTGGTTCACCAATTGAACCGATTGAACCGATCAAACCGAAAACCAAACCCAAAAACGGTTCAATGATCGGTCCGGTTTTAAAAAACTTGCTTCAAACATCAAGCACCAAACCATTTCACTACCAGAAGTCGACCCTTGCATTCATAAAAATCAAAACCCAAGGTCTTAAAATGTCAAAACACAATTTAATCACACCCATTAAATTGTTTTGACATTTTAAGCTGTTCTGACATTTTATGCAGCAGTTGTGAATTGTTTTCCTACCTCTTTTTCACATGTTTCTTTTTGAATCCTCTGGTTTCTGAACCCATTAACCCCTTGCATCTTTCATGTATCCTATCAACACCATGGATTCTTTGCCAATCCTTCTTTTTTGTTGCTTTCATCTTCATTATGATCCACCCATTCAAATCTGTAGGTTGGTTTTGAATGATTCTTTACAGCATCCAGACATCCCTTTTTTTGTCATTCTAGCATGTTTTATCCCTTGCATGGACTAATGGCACATGTCAAAATCAAATGCAGTAAACTGATATGCATAGGTAGTAAGTTTGTCTCATAGCAAGGGGCAGTTAGGGACTCATTTTCTAACATCTTTTGACATGTTAGAAGATAGTTAAAAGCCTAATCTTCCTCAAAAGACATTGATCGTTTTGTCATTATTGCTCTTTCAATCACTGTGGAATTCACATCCGAGGTTTAGGATGTTTGGGATGAGGGGAATGAAGGGAAGGGGAGGGGAAATTTTCTTTATTTAGTTATCAAAAAAATTGGAGGGGAGAGGAGGGGAAATTTTTCTTTTAATTTAATTATTTATTTAAATGAGAAGAGAGAGAAGGGGAATGGAGAGAAATGGGAGGATATAATTCCATCACCTCCCCTTCCCTCCATTATCCTTAACCCAAACATAGGGTAAAAAAGTGAATTGATAGTATTCTTTACCCTCACCATGTTCTCTTGCATTTATTGTACCTTTTAATAATTAATTATTATAAAGGAAATAAAAATTGACTCCAATTTATTAAATGTCCAATTAGAATTATCCACATGACATTGACTTAGAAAATAATTAATTGTTAAAAATTACATAAATGCACTATTAACTTAAACCAAGTTAAAAAAATGATATTAAATAAAAAAACATTGATTAGTGCGTACTTTAGTTCAACACATTACACAACAAATTCATTAAAAATAATTATTTTTTAGTTTAAAATTAAAAATAGACAAATTTAAATATGAAGCTATCCATACAAAATATAAGAATTGGCTAAATTAATTTTATTTATATTATATTTTCAATGATTGAACTAAATAAGTGTTAGACATGTGTCGAATAGAGTATGTAACAATCATTTTCCTAAATAAAATAAAAAATGTATTTATTTATTTTTTATATCATATTGTATTATATTATATTCATTATAATAAATAAAATTTTATTCAAGAATAACATTAGTGTTGTTGATGGCCTCCGTGGTTGAAAGCTTTGAGGGAGTGGGGTTTTGAATGCCTTTGTGCATAAGTTTTTTGAAAGATTTCCTAAATTTTGTAAATTTGACTATTTACCAATTCAAAACTTAACTGGTTTGATTGGTTTTTTAGGTTTTAATTGAATTTGATTTATTTTGACTGAGTCTCACTGCATATCAAGTTTATATAGTGAACCAACTAATTTTTATAATAGGTTCTAATTCAATTAGTTGGACCAACCAATCCGATTCAAATTTTAAAACAATGATTTGAATAACCTTTTAACTCCTCTCTTCATATTCACCGTTGAAATGTATGTGACAAACAAATTTACATTTCCATTATTTTTCTACACATCAAAATTAAGTGAACACAAACTCTACACCTTAATATTAAATTATCAATCCATAAGCCCTAAAATCCTAAATCTTCCATTCTAAACCCTTAAGCTATAAATCCTCACAATTCCTATACAACCATAAATATTCAATTTAGAACCCTAAACCCTATCGCACATATCATAAACCCGTTATCAATAAACCCTAACACATACCCAAACTTTCATACCTTAAATCACTTATCCTAGATCTTAATTCCACTTACTCTAAATCCTAAACAATCCATGTATACCTTCATGGTTGGCAGTTGTCGCTACGTTGGATTTGTTTTCTCCCAAATGGTGTTGGAGAGACTCGAACATGCATTCTCGGCATGGTTCACATCACTCTTTAACCATTTATGGGATAATAATAATTGTTTCATTCTTTCTTATTCCCTGTACATTTCTGTTTTTTATTTGAAAGGCGCCATACACATATTCTTATTTTGGCTAGATGTCATAGATAGGTGATATATTATAATAGCAATGAAACTCATGCCGGAATTATTCTTTCTTTCTAAATCCTAATTATAATTCATTCATTACAGCAACACTAGGCATTTTGGTTACAAATCTTTCAAAGATTCTCGGTAAGAAACAGCCTCTCCTCAATATATATATATATATATATATATATATCTTGAGCCTTATTACTTTTCTTTTCCTTCATTTGTTTTCTCTATCTTGATTCTTATTTGTAGATTAAAGAAAATATGTGTGTTTTATCAGCAAAACAAATATATGATCTAAAATCAACGGATGTGTATGCTGGTGAGGTTGTAAGTATCTTATATCGGCATTTATCAACTTTGGATCATAACCAATTTGGGAAAAATAAAGGAGTGGAAGCAACCTTCCAGGCTATTAAGAATGGCATCCCTGAGATTGCAACTGAACTTGCAAAAGCTAATCCAAATATATTGTGGAGCAGTACTGATCCTGAGGATTCAAGGAACATGTTTGCATATGCTGTATTACATCGCCAAGAGAAAGTGGCACGCTTTCTTTATGCTCGTGAGAAAAATGCACATTTTACCACTGATGAAGATGGAAACAATACCTTACATCTTGCAGCAAAGTTGGCTCCTCATTTCCAACTAGATCACATCGCCGGTGCAGCTTTGCAGTTGCAAAGTGAATTACGCTGGTTTAAGGTAATCATTGTTTAGTTTAATTTTTTTTAATTAACTAGTGGGATCTCTCATATAATTCATTTATTTCATATAATATGCGAATGTATCAAATTATACTTAATAAAAATAAAATCTCATTCTTAGAAAATTAAAAATAGTTATTTCAATTGAGGCAAACTAACTGGCCTTTTGATTTTTCAATTATTTATATGATGAAAATTTCTGCCACAGTTTTTCTTAGATGATCTGATTTCATTTGTTAGTTTCTTAATATCTATATATTACGAAACTAATGCAGTCGGTAGAAGCAATTGTTCCACGGCATTTCAACGAAAACAAGAATAAAGATGATGAAACTCCTTCCCAGGTGTTTGCTAGGGAACACAAAAACTTGTTAAAAGAAGCAGAAGAATGGATAAAGAAAACTGCAGAATCTTCTACAGTCGTAGGTGCTCTTATCATTACTATTATGTTTGCTGCTGCTTTTACTCTTCCTGGTGGGAACGATCAAAATACAGGTTTCCCCATATTTTTGAACAGAACGGCACCAGTAAATTCTCTTACGGTTACACCGTTTAGGGTATTCATAGTAGCAGATGCAATTTCCCTTTTTACTGCATCTAGTTCAGTGTTAATGTTTTTGGGGATTCTCACTTCACGTTACGCTTATGAAGATTTTCTCATATCCTTGCCGATGAAGTTGATTGTTGGTATTTCTTCACTCTTCATCTCTATTGCAACATTGACAGTAGCATTTTGTGCTGCTCTTTACGTGACGCTACAATGTCGATTGAGGGAAGTCATTCCAGTAACTGTGCTTGCTGTTATTCCTATCATGTGCTTTCTGTTGTTGCAGTCTCCTCTTCTTGTTGAGATTATTTCTTTGACTTTTAGGCGAGACATCTTTAAAAAAAATCTGTAAGAGCCCAGTTAGTTGAATTGCTTGCTGGTTGTATTCCTATCATTCCATCCTTGGTACATGCCGTGGACACCAGACTGAATGTGTAGACTGATCTAAGAAGGCAGAAATGGATGGTCACAGTTGAGTGTTTTTTTCTATTTTTTTTTTTCCTGCCATATGGAGTTAATTATACGACTCTAGTCTATGTATATTTTCTAGCTGTAATAAATACTTGTTGGATCGATGTATATTCGTTCCAGATTTCGAACTTCTAAGAGTCAAATTCTTCGTTGCAAATTGCATTTTTATTGCTAATTCATTTTCCACCTAAGCACAATTATATCATTAAAATTGCAAAAATGAAAAATCAAGATGTGTTGGTCTGTCAGATGTTTTAAAAATCGGAGGATTACATCAGCAAACATAACAGACATCATTTAGAGCGTGGTTTTGCAGAGCTTTTAAGTAATTAACTTCCTTAAAAGCCATTTGCTCTCATAAATTTCTATTTTTTTGGAAGAAAAATTTGAATTTGGCTTATAATCAAGTTTTGTAAGAGCACAACTGCAAAAAGTAGCCCTGGGCATTTGAAACCGAAACCAATGGTTTACCCGAAAATTGAACCGAAAAAATAAATTTGGTTCGGTTAAAATGGTTTTTGGTTTTTATTATTTCGGTTTTTATATTAACCAAATAATTTTGGTTCGGTTTTGGTTAAATTTTTAAAAAACCAAAAACCAAAAAGAAAACCGAAATTAGGATAAAATAGATAAAATATATTAAAATATGATAAAATATAACAAAATATGATAAAATATGTGATAAAATATAATTTATTATTAAAAAATAATTAATTAATATTTATTTAATAAAAACCAAAACCGAACCGATTTCATTGATAAAAATTGGTAACCGAACCGATTAGCTTATAATAATTTTGATTCGGTTTCGGTTCACAAAATTAAAACCAAATTTTTTCAATTAATTCAAAATCGGTTTCGGTTTTAAACCGAAACCGGTTTTGCCCACCCCTAGCAAAAAGCATACCTTGATTGCGCCTAGGCGGTAGGTGGTGGTTGGCCACTTTTCCTAGATAGCTAGGCGCCTAAGGCCTTTGCAGCACATTTTTTAACGGTATGAGATGTTCTTAGGCTCGGTACATCAAGCCAATCCATTTTTGAAACACTTCTTAAACATTAGGATGAAGTTTTAGACCCAACAACTTTTTTTTGACTTAAGAATTATATAAGGTCTCAAATTTTCATTGAATTTGCAATTGAAATCCTAAAGTTTTATTATGCTCAAATAAAGTTTTAAGTCCTTTAAATTTTTAAATAAAATTCTAATTAAATGGAAATTGTTAGGTTTATTAAATCAGTCGTATTGCAATTAATTCTAATTGGTTAAATATCCAAAATAATGCATAGTTTTTTTTATTTTATCTTTCAATAATACTAAAAGTCTAAAACACTCAATAACCTCAAAATATACATGTTATAATTGCATGTGACTTTATTTTGGAACTTTTATGAGTTTGAGATCTTATTTGAGTGATATAAAATTTTAAGTTCTCAATTACAAATTTAATGAAAGTTTATGACCTTTTTCAATACTTAAGCTCTTTTTTTAATTTTTATCATTCTTTTGGAAAAGAGAAAATAGAAAAAATACCTTGTCGCCTTGTAAGTGCAGTGCCTAGGCCTGCCTAGGCACTAGGTAATGGCTTAACGTCTACTATCGTCTGGCACATTTCGCAACATTGTGGGAAATTAATGGCACAAATTGTTTTATAACTTGCTTGTAATAAGTCGCCTTAAAAATTATATTTAAAATTTCTGGCAAATTTAAAAATTTACGAGAAAGCAATCGCCATCCAAACAAACTTTCCTTGAAAGCTCTGCGAAACCGAAACATGCCCTTAACCTTGTAACTCAAAGCTAGGGTTGCATGATCGAATCCCCTCCACTCCTTCCTCCCCCATAATGAAAAAGGAAAAAATAAATCTCGAGTGATTTGCTTAGGAAGAAGGTTTTTTTTCTTTTTTATTTTTTTTGTCAAATTCTCTATTTACACCTTATATATTATTTTTTTTCAAATTTTATAATTTTTTTTCCCTTGTAAACATCCTTTACTTTTCAAATTATTCTAAAAACCCAAACTTTCACTGCAAAAGCATGTGACCGTTAGAACCCGTTTCTTGTTAGCTGATATAGTGTTGTTTTAATGACGTAAAAATTGTTCTGTTGATAAGGCTTTTCTTAATGACATGGCTGGTGAATTTCACTTAAAAGTAAACAAAATTATTCTTTTCCCTAATAGCCATTTCTTCAATTCTAGATTTATTAAATATACCATTATCATCCCCTTCAATTTCCATTACGGTAAGAAATCCCATTTTTTGATGGTTAATTTCTCATGCCCATAAACAATTATATACCAAATTGAAATTCTAAAACGTAAATCATGTACCAGAAACAATTAAACCATTTCTTATCCTTAATCCATAAAAATGTAAGGGGTGAATAAAGTAACGTACTTGGAAGTAGAATAGACACATATTCAGTTTTCTTAAAAAGAAACACTAACTGGATTAGATTAAACTCAGTCTTAAGGCTTTGTAAAAAAATTTATAAAAGAAACTCTTCAAATCATTTTGTGGCAATGTTCTTCCTTTTTGAATCCCACCGGTAAGGCAATCTTGCAACAAGAATTCCATAAAACAAATTAAAAACAAACATACAATCAGGTTGAGTTCAAAATAAATAAATAAAAGATTCAAAACCTTCAAAAAAGCTAGATTATTTTATTCAAAGATGTCAAGAACAATTTTACAGATACGTAGAATTTTGCAGAATGGACCAAGCCCCAGACCACACCAGAGAACTTGAAAGGACTCCATAGGTCTCGATGACTCGATCGGATCATGGGTTGCACCGATTTACTACCTGGTTTGATCGGGAATGGCGCCATCGTCTAAATCTCAGGTGGGTAGAGGCAACAACATGGCCGACTATTTTTTTTTGAAAATAAAATGAGGATATCCTTTTTCTTAATAATGTCATAATGCTTAATTATATTTAATTATATCTATTAAATATATGTGATATAATATAAGTTTTAATTTTATTAAATTTATTATATAATTATTATTCAAAATATAAAATGTGAGGATTTATATATAAGTGAGTAGAAAGATGAAAAGATATTGGACATAAAGAAGAAGAAAACCAAAAAGTTAAAAAAAATTATAATCACATAAATACTTATTATGCCATACATTATAATATTATGTATTTATTTTTCTTAAATTTTAAGCATCTATTCAT